TTACCCTATGGAACGGGCCTATCTGCCCCCACCCCCCAACCTCCCTCAAATCCTGTGACTAGCTTTGATCAATAGAATGAGATGCAAGGAGTGCTATGTAATCTTTAAAGCCAGGCTTTAAGAGATCTGTAGGTTTTACCTTTGACCTCTAGGAGCATTCCCTGGTAGAAGCCAGCTGCCATGTTAAAATTCTGACAACCATGCCCCTAGGAAGCCCAGGCTTACCACACACAGAGAGGGATGCCACGTGGAGGAGCTGAGGTGCCTGAATGACCCCACCTGACACCTCCTAGAACAGAATAAACTCCAAGCTGAACCCTACCCAATTCTGACCCATAGAATTTTAAGGAAATAAACTAGCTGTTCTTTGATGTTATTAAGTTTTAGGGTGGTTTTCTACATCGCAGCAGATAACCAGAACGTAAGCAAAAGTAGCTAAGCTGGGATTTGAATCCATGTTGTCTGATTCCACAATTCGTGCTCTAAATTACTGTATATACTACCTTTCTAATACATGGGGTGCCTATGATAAGCACTGTTGAGTGATGAGACTGTTAAGTCTAGTGATTTTTCCCTGAGAGTGATGTTGACACAGCTAGTCAAATAAATTAATATTCTCATCTAGCAGATACATTTGGAACAAGTTTATACACCAAAGTATGCATAAATCCACATAATCTCATCACTGAAACCATAAAATACATAATTGTATCTTATCATTAACATCCAGTGAGAAGTAGTGAGTATATTCACTTTTTAATGCTGCATAACAAACTGAGCAACCTAAAACAACATATATTTATTAGTTCCGTTTCTGTGGGTGTGGAATCAGGCATTGATTATACGAGTTTTCTGCTCAGGGACTCACAAGGCTGCAATTGAGGTACTAGCTGGGCTGTACTCCTCTGGGAAGCTTGGGGTCCTCTTCCAAGCTCATGTGGCAGATTTCAATTCCTTGCAGATGAGACTGAAGTCCCCATTTTCTTGCTGGCTGTTACTCAGGGCCTGCTGGCAGTTCCTAGAGGCTGCCTGCAGCTCCCTGTCATATGGCCTCTCACAGACCCTCACATCGAGGTGGCTTCCTTCCCTCAGGCCAGCAGGAGACTCTCTCTCTCTCTCCAGCCTGCTAAGACAGAGTCCTGTATAACAAAACTATGCAATCATAGGAGTGACATCTCATCACCTTTGCCATATCATATTGGCAAAAAGCCAAATCAATGAAATAGACAATCTATATTGTGGAAGAGGTGACAGATACAAATTTATGCCACATGATCTAGGACTTGAGAGGAAGCATGCTGTGTGTCATCGCCTCTTCTATTACATGGTGGAATGAATTCTGGGTTAGAAATCAGAGTTCCTTAATGGACACTGAGGACTACTACAGGAGGAAGAGAGGTGGGGAGCGAGGGTTAAAAAACTAGCTATTGGGCACTATGCTCACGACCTAGGGTTGTACCCCAGCCCTCAGCATCACACAATATACCCATGTAACAACCTGCACCTGCACCCTCTGAATCTAAAATAAAAGTTGAAATTTTTTAAAAGAAATCAGAGTTCCTGGTTTTAGTTCGGGTTCAGTCACCTACAATTTGTGTAATTTGGGGTAAGTTATTTAATCTTTGAGATTTGTTTTTGCTTCCTCATAAAATGTGGTAGGTGATGTATACAAAAGAGTGTTATAATAACAGTAAAGTTTACAAGGCTTTGCAAGCTCAAGTACTAAGCACGTTTAAAGGCATAATCAACACTTCCCATCTTCCCTCCCTTCCCCATTGTCCTTTCACTCCTCAGCACAAAACAGCCAGCAGCAAGCCTGTCACACAGTACTATGGGTGGGAACGAAGAGAGGAGAGCCATGAAAAGGCATATCAGACAGTTCCATCTGGCACCCAAGGATGTAGGGTGGGTGCAGGAAGCAGGTAGAGGAGATGGCCTGCATGTGTGGGAGATGGGCTATATTAGCTAATAAGTAAATAGATTGAACAAATAAGTATGTATATTAAGAATAATGAGAACCAGATTTCCCATTTTGGGAAACGGTACTAACAAACATGAAAAGAGGAGAGGCTGGAAAGAACGCTAAAGAATTGGATTGGAATTGGAGGAATCAGTATGAACTTGTGGTTTCTATACACAAATATACAAATAGTACAAATGTGTGTATGTGTGTTGATACATACATACATGTATTTCCTAGTTCTGTCTACTGCACAGGCCTAGAAGCAATGACATCACAGCACAAAGAGCGTACCACATGTTCCTATCATGGTCACTCAGTACCATCCACCACTGAAAGGAACTAGTACTTCTTAGAGAAACAATTGATTCCAGGCTGGGACAGGGTAAGTACAGGATGATCCTGGACTATCTTTTGTGCCGGAAAGCAAAGAAGCTGAAGGAGTGATGGCGACACATCAAAAGGACACAGGAGCTACCTTGAAGGGGTTCTGGCCGGCTAAATCTGGGATAATTTGAGCATCAAAACGTCCCTATTGAACAAAATAGGACTTCATAAGTAAATGATAAGAAAAAGCTTTTTAAAGTATAATGTCAAATAAGCGAGTATGAAATCATGGAAATCAAATATTACCATTTGGCAACCACCATAGTGATATTTGATCATAGATGGAGGCGAAGGCTGGTGGGTAGAGGTTAGATGAGGAACAGGATATTGGCATTATATGTAATACTAAAGAATTATAAAGGGAAAGTGGTGATTTTAAGATGGAAAACTTAATGACATGACTAGGGAGCCAACTGATGTTGAAACAGGTTGACATCGTGTGGCCCCAGGGTGACACACTGAGAAAAGCATGGTGTCACTTCTGCAGTATTCTTGCCAGGAAATCCTACCTGACTCTGCCAAGATGAAACATGAGACCGCCTATGCTAAGGGACATCTTAGAGAATGTAAGACCTGTCCTCTTGAAAGTGGCTGAGGACATGAAAGAACTCTTCCAGATAGAGGAAACCAAAGAGACATAAGACCATGTGCAACACATGCTCCTTGACAGCATCCTGTACCTAAAAGGAAAGAGCCATTGCTGAATGGAGTCTGAGGATGGAGTGGTGGTATTGTACCAACGTTGACTTTCTGATTGGTGGGATCGTCTGGTGGTTACGTGGAGAAGGTCCTTGTTTGGAGGAAACACACACTGGGGTATTTAGGAGTGATAGGACATCATGTCTACAGCTGTTTCAAATGGTTTAGAAAATGACAGGTGGTAATAGGTATAGATAAACACAGATAAATAAACCAGCACACACATGCATAAAGCAAATACAGAGAGCTAATAACAATGAGGGAATCTGGGTGGTGGAATATGGCACTGTACCTACATACCTACAGCTTTGCAGTAAGTTAGAAGTTATTTCAAAATAAATTTATTTTTGTAATGCAGGGAAAAAGGAGTAACCTAATCATCTTTCTTCCCCAAGGAGATTTCAATTCCTTGAGAAAAAGTCTGTCTTTTACTCCTGCTGATTCCCTGGCATACAGGGAATCCTTGATATAGACTTGCTGCAGGCAGGCCAAGGCAAAAATTCAGTGCTCACCCTTGCAGAGTTCTGGCTCTCCAACTGCAAGTTTTCATGGGTTGAATTGGATGTCACATAACTGATCAATGAGGGATTACAATTTGCTTTCACAGGCCGCTATTGGTTTCACCTCAATTGGCCTCAGGAGCAACATGACTAGTGAAATCTTAAGTGAGGGAAGAAATTGATGGTGAATGGTGCAGAATCGTAGAGATGTTCTGCCTCAGTGGCTGGCCAGTCCATGGCCTGGCAAGCATCTGCTGACCATCTGTGGCTGGGAGCCAGGCTGCCACTTCCTTTGATGGTCTAGATAGAATCTTGTTGATTTGGGTCTGGATGTATGTTTTGTTCAGGATTCAGCGACATTTAAGTTTGATGTTGTCAGTTTTGATAAGTGTGTACTTTTGGCTTTCGATAACAAAATACACACAATGAGCTATACAAGCACCTTTATTATTGAAATTTCTGCAGAAATAATTCTGTTCTGTAAGTCTCAAATTCTCTAGATTCTCATCCCTTTTGTTCCTCAGAAATAATTGTTCATGGGACACGATTTTTTGATGTTTCTTTTCTAAAGACTGTGGCACTAGGCTAGAACATTCCAGAATTTCAGACTCTCAGAGTCGAAAGGGGACTTACAGGTTGTCAGAGCACAGTGTCTGATCTAGAATGCAGACTGACTTCTGCTCCATGGACCCGAGGGTTGCCGAGCCACAGGTGCCACTTTCCCCAGAAGGAATGGGAGCATGAGCCAGCAAAAAGTTGCCTTTCTCAGCTGTAACCAGAGTTGCAAAGCACTGATCCTCCCAAATCTCCAAGCCCATGCAGGAATTCTACCAACACAGCCTATGGGGTCCCAGCTTCTGCATAAACCCCCAGTGATGGGGATCTCTGTGTCTCCCAAAAACCTCCTGCTGAGGCTCTCGAATCTGCTACTCTGCTGAGGTCTTGGTGTTTGCTCCTTCTCTCCCCTCCTCACCCTTATACTTCGTCTGTCCTCCACTTCTCAGCATACCCAGCCTGGGCAGGCCAGATCCGGAGACATATTTTCCCTCAGCTGCCCTGCAAAGGGTGCTGTGGCTGTCGCTTGCCTGTAGTCCCTTTGACGGCTTTGTGTTCTGTGCTATAAATAAATGATTTTGAATGCTTATCTGCTTGCCTCTGTCTGCTTTTCAAGTTATTTTTGGGTGACAGGCCTCTTCTGTGTTAGGTGGGGGCCTGTGTTATTGAAGACCATGCATGCCTTGTCAAAGGGAAATAAGGTCATTTGAGTGTGTGGTGGAGGCTGAGGTGGGTGGGTAGCGGGTGCGGGGCTTGTCAGTTCACATTCAGAGCAGTGCTTGTGTCCTCTTGCTAAAGTGTACCAGGCAAACCAGGGGGACCCCAATATAGTCCAAGCCACTCCCCACAGGTAATCCTGAGCTCAGGCTTTCTCATCTCATTTAACTCTCCATCCACAGGCACTTCTTTCTCAAAACCAGCAATGTGGAACGTGCGAAGGACGCTGAACTAAGAGTGCGAGCCCTGGGTGACTACCTTGGCCTGCAACTTCCTGGCTGGGTGGCCTTGAGTGAGTCACTACTTCTCTATGTCTCCATTTTTTTAAATCCAGAAGTGGGACTGCTGGTTGCTGCCCTGCTTGATTAGAGGGCTAGAAGGTGGGCTTTCATCTACCCCGGACTACAGGCAGCAGAGGCCCCAGAACACGGCCAGGCCTGAGACTAGTCCCCACCTCCCCTCTCCCTGGGAGGCCCTTGGTGGCCAGCAGCCAGGACCTCAGGGATATTTCTGGCTTCAGCTGTATCCTTTTGACTTCAAGATCCATGCAAGACACTAAAATAGAGAAACCCTGATTTACTGAGGGTTCACTTAAGATCAAAACTGAGAGGAAGCTTGAGACCACAGCTCCTCCTAACAGGATGTCCTCCTCCAATTCCTGCCTGCAGTCCACTGAGAGCCCTCAGTGGCCCCGCCTGACTGACTATTGACTTCCCTCAGCACTTACTTTTTCTTCCAGAGGACCCTCCTCAGCCCCTTCCTCCTTATCCAAGATGCTCCTGCCACTGCCTTCAGGCCCCTCACCACCTGCATCAGAAGCATCTCTCTCTCAAATCCCTGCGTCTCTTCCTCCATGTTTTTCAGGCCTCCAGTGCCTGAAGACAGAGCTGAACTCTGAAGACATTTAGATCTTTAGCCATCAGTCTGAGGAGAAATCTGCATTTATTATGGTTTTCTGAGTCTAATGAGAGAGAATGATCGATTCATCCACTCAGACAGTTTTGTAAAGCACAGCACCAAAGTTTGCTTTAATACTTAGGAAAATGCCCACTGGCTTCCCTCTTTGAGGACTTGTTCTCCTGCCTCTGTCCCTGCCACAGCAGGTTCCCCATGGAAATGGGCTGGGCTTCAGCTCCAGGCCGCTGGGGTTACCTTCAAAGCCCTGGATACTCACCTCCCCTCAGGTCCTTTGCTGTCGCTGCTGCCGCCAAGCCGTTTCCAGGGCATAGCAACCGGACTCCCTGACAGGTCTCCCGGTTCCCAGCCAGCCACGGCTCCTCGTCAGTCTGTTGCCAGCTGTTGCCCCACCTTCCTTGCCCCTCCACCCCGATCCTCCAGCCTGCTTCATTATCCAGACCATTTCTGCTTTTCACCCTCCACTGATTCCCCACAGGCTTCAATTAATAATTTTAAATGGTCACCAATTTTCCTCAAGCCTTGGGCAGTAATGAAAATTTAGGTCTAAATTAAAATTTGCTAATTTAAAAGCATTTGCCCACTAATCGGCTGCTGAAGTGCAATCACTTGGCAGCTGCATCTCAGGGCTGTCCTCTCACGGCCTCCTGCCTCTGTCCCTGTAATGGTTAACCCAGTGGTTCTCAACTCAGGGGATTTTGCCCCTCAGGGGACATTAGGCAATGTCTAGAGACACTTTTGGTTGTCTTGGAGAGGGAGTTGCTACTGGCATTAGTGGGTAGAGGCCAGGGATACTGCTAAACACCCTACAATGCATAGGACAGTCCCCCACAACAAAGAATTATCTGGTGCTGAGTTTAAGAAACCCTAGATATGGAAAACTCCCAGGCTTTTCCCCGAGAAACCTTTCCTTGAACAACCCTGCATTCTCCAGAACAGGCCTTGAAGCTTTTGTTTCTAGGGGTCTGGAGTCTTCGATGTACAACATGATCTCCCTAGATGTTCTAGATCTGTTTTCTTTGGCCTGTATAATGTTTGTTTGTTTGAATTGATCCAATATTTAAGACCAACAAGATATTTTGCAAGAAAAATCTGAGTTTACAGTTTGTCTTTAAAAATGGAAGACAGGTTAACATTTGTCCCTAATTCCCAGTGGGCGGCTTTCAGCGGGAGTTGAGTAGTAGTTCCCCACGCCCCTTGACATCTGTCCCATTCACCTCAGTCTTCACCACTCTCTATTACTCTCTGACTTTGAGTATTACTTGCTATTTATCATCGTGTTTACACTGCTGTTTTCTCATGGTAGAGGAATACTTCTCCATATACCTCAATTAAAAGTGGGAAAATAAAAGATAGACCGGGCTGCACTCAGAGCCGTCAGTCATTTTTATTACCTGTCTTGCTCTGTGGGCATTTGGCTGTGTCATCCCATGTGGTTCCTGCCCGGGCCAGTGACTGAACTTTCTGACCCTGGTCAAGTCCTTCCCAGGTCAGCTCTGTAGACTCACAAGAGGCTGGCAGGTGGGTAGGAGGTAATTCTTATACTCTTTTCTCAGTTATAAGTTTCCTGTTGGGACATGGGGCTCATGAGGATTGGAGTTCCCAGTATATCCACACCAAACATCCCACAGGGAGCTGCAAAAGAGAGGCGAAGAGCAAATCTCATCACTTTGGGTCAAGGACCCTGGTGCCCTACTCCCAACTTCTAACAGAGGGGTCGGCAGACTATGGCCCATAGGCTTATGCAGGCATGCTTCCTGCATTTATAAATCACGTTTTACTTGTGCAATCACTCCGTTTAAGAACCTATTGTCTATGGCTGCTTTCCTGCTACACTGGCAGAATTCAGTAGTTGCAACAGAATATACGGCCCACAAGCCTAAAATAGTTACTATCTGGTTTTTCATAGAAATAGTTTGCAGACCCCTGTTCTAACATTTCAGTACTTCCCATTCATATACACCTAGCAGTTCACAAAGCACTTTTTTGATCCTTCCAACAATCTCATGAGGTGGGCAGGGCAAGGATTATGAAAGGTACAAACAAACACTTTTGAGCGTCAATTGGGTGCCGAGTGCTGAGCTCTGGTTTTTCACCTGCACTTCCTCACAGCAGCCTTGTGAAGTGATTATTTTAACTTTACAGATGACACAACAGAAGCTCAGAGAGGTTAACTGATAGGCCCAAGTTCACCCTGGACTCTGCCTGGCTCTATGCCAGGCATCTCTGTTTCCCAGCTTGCTTAAGGCAGCAGTCTTGACCCTTCGCTTCATAGTGGTGGAGGGTTACCATGTGTGGCACTCCGCAGAACCACTCCTGGGACGGGTGCTGGAGCTGCAGCCTTCTCTCCCTCAACTCTCACACTGGCGCTCCCTAGCAAGTGGAGAGCTGCTGCATCAAAGGCCAGCCAACTGCAGTTTATTCTTGCCCCCTCCTCAAATTGCCAAAGGTTGGGCTGCCCCAGGCACAGTATCCAGACAGTGCCTGACAGCTACTCACCTGGAGCTAGTGCTGCCAGGTAGAAACAGATGCTGTGAATGCCAACCTTAGCTACTTCCTAACCTGGACTGTTGGGGATGACAGGATGAAAATGCTAGAGACCTGGGGGAGGGTATTAGGAAGGAGGACAAAGGGAGGGGTCTGAGCTGAGAGGAACACAGCCCAAATGGCCATGAGGGAGTGGGGGGCCAATGGCCAAGGAATTGAGGCAAACAAAAAACAACTGTGTGTTTCATTGCATGCTGCCCAATAACCTGTGAAGGGTAACAGAGTCAAAGCTTTAAGGAACTGTAATCCTGCCTGTAGGACAGGCCACATGGAATCTGCATACCCCTGTTGAGTATTTATGCTACATTAACTGCATGCATTTGGGTTTCCATGTGCAACGGTGTGTGTCTTGGCATCTGTGTTTTGTATGAGCCAGTAGACCTAGCCAAACCCCCGGGACCAGAAGATGGTTTCATGCATGGGAAATTATGTGAGACACCAAAAGGAAGCATCTTCTAGCCCAGCCTACCACAATACCTGATGTCCTATTTTAGATTCATATTCTGTCTAGTACAGTAACTGGCACCGGGTAGATGCTCAGTCAATGTTAAATTGAACCCTTTCTTTCAACTAGGTACAATATTTTTACAGAGATCTTCATATATTCTCTTAAAGTCAAATACAAAGCTTATCTTTCTTTTCATTATTATCCATGTGTCCAATAAAAATTGAGTGCCTACTGTGTTAATTACTTTCTTCTTCTAAAATGCAAGAATAGGTTGGCACAAGGGAATAACAGTAAAAAGTCCAGGATAATAAGTGCAAGAGTCTCAAATTGTGTGTTTACAAGACATGAAGCTGGTAAGATGAGGTGGAAGCTGTGGAAGAAGGGCTTTGAAGGCCGGGCTGGGAAGTTTGGACTTGAGCCTACAGGCATTCAGTAGGGGCTGTGGCTACTTATGCATAAACAACAAAAGTAGGGATTTCAGAAGGCCGGTTGGGCATTGGCATCAGAGAGTCTGCAGGAAGAGATGTAGATGGGAGGCATATGTCACTGGGAGTAATAAAGGACATTGCTTTAATACCCAGCCCTTCCTGAACACTCATCTTGGGCTCCCTACAAAGCATGTTGGACACTGTATCTCCTGGAATACTTTCAACAACCTGTGAGACAGGTTTTCATGTCTCCATTTGCTGGATGGGCAACTGAAGCTCAGAGCTGGGAGATGCAGAGCTACTCTGCAGTGGCGGCATGCCTGGGGAAGAAGGGATATATGGCAGAGCTTGGTGGACGGATACATGGGAGATAAAGCTAAACATGGATGCCCGGGGCTGTTCCAGTGCTAGGGCCAGGGAAAGGGAGAGAATGGTGGGTCCAGACCCCAAACTCTGCCTTGGGTACCCCTCTTGAAGGACACACAGGGCCACTTACCTTCCCTGGCAGAAGGCTGCCACCTTCCCAAATCCACAATGGCTTTGGTGATTGAGCCAGGGCGTTCAAGGGGACACTGATATTATAATTCAATGACAAAGCAGGTTGTCTCTTTCTTACTAATTGGTCATCTTTCTTACTAATTGCTATGTAAGGCCATGGACTGTTCTTTAGTCTGAGCTTCTCTTTGCCTTTGCCCAGTGCAGTAGCTATTCACAGGTACAATCATAGTACACTACAGCCTCGAACTCCTGGGCTCAAGTGATCCTCCCAGTAGCTGGGACTACAGGCACGCACCACTACACCGGCCTCTTTGCCTTTTGAAAATTGTGTAAACCCACTCCCTTCCCCCATTCCCACAACGCATTTCTCACCACAGACTTTCTATACCATGATGATGAAGGCTAGGTTTGGTGAGAAGTCTTCTTGTTTCTA